CCCCTGTGGCTAGGCCATAGCAAAAAGCTGTGTAAGTTTATCAGCCCCTCCCAATTCTTGGGGAACCCTGATTACAACTATAGCAATGGTCAGAGCTCTGCCCTAACTGCCTGTGCTGCTATGGGCTTTTGACTTTGAAGAGCACAGATTAAATAAATTGGCTCCCCTCCTTTACATGAACTGAGATTATATAAATGTTTCCCTTTTTCATTGGGGTTAATTTGCAACAAATCCTCTTATTACAGACTTAAAGGTTGAACATTAAAATACAATGTTTTTCACTTTGTATATAATGTATACAAGTATATACACTGTATCTTCTTTTTTTCTAAAATGGATTGTGGTGATGGCTGCACAACTCTGTGACTACACTGAAAACCACTGAATTGGACACTTTAGATGAGTGAATTGTATGGTACATGAATTATATCTCAATAAAGCTGTTTAAAAAATACCTCTCCCTCAAAGTTAATGACCTTATAGCTAAGTAAAATAATAGAGGTGAAAGGATCAACTGTTTCTATGAATGTTATATGATGACTTTTTTGCAAGCCCAAAGTCTCTATGATGATGAGAAATCAAATCTTTAAAGGATACATTTTTCCCTTAAACTGTCTAAAAAAGCTTAGCCAAAGAGCAGCAATAATAATAATAAACAAACATATAAACTCGCAAGAAGATGTCTTTTTGAAATAAAAAGTTGGCTAGATACAAAAGATATAAGGGAAATACACCAATTTCCTTTTCAAGTACTTCTTACAGTTTGCCCAGGAAAGGTATCATGAGCTATGCTCAAAGCAAGAAGAAAACAAGAAGAGGACAGAGTTGTGGTTTGGAGAAAGGAGTGCAATGTTCTCAGAAAAAAAAAAAAAAAAACAGTGAAAAAGGAACCCGATTCAAGACGAACTCTGGCTCCATCTCTCATAATAAAGAGAAGGTCTCCATATTGATCAGGGCAAACAAAGAGCTTGAAGATGAAACTTGGCCCAGGAGCAGCCAGGGGAGAGAAGGGACTCAGCCATTTTCAATTCCCCACTAAGGTGACTCTCATGCCAAGGCACTGAAAGACCCATAGGTCCCTTTTTGATACCTTTCTTGTGACCAAAGCAGCCCCATCAGACACAGTGTGTGTACTGTGTGTTATGCTGATATAGTGTCTCTTGCAGGCCTTCCCAATGATCCTGTGGGATACTACTGGCTTCATTATACACTGAAGCTCAAGTACCTGCCCAACTAACATACAGTTCATGAGGAGCAGAACCAGATCGAGACCCAGGCCATCTGACTTTGGCTCAGTGCACTTTTTACTACTCAGTGTACTTGTCACTACATCTTTAGCAGAGCAACTGATAAAAATTCAAGTTATAATGTTAATGACATCAGTATTAAATGCAACTGTAGCAAGATGAATATTATTACCCAGCAAGTGCTGGTTAACATCTATCCATCTAACATCACAGGTCTCTGTCCAATCCTTGGATCCTATTCAATCCTTAGACTATCCCCCGGGAGGGAGTTAAGAGGAAGACCTGAGGCTCCTGCATTAAGTAACTTGCTTAGGGGCACCAATGACTGGTGCAGCAGAGGTTTAAATGTACTGGAATCTGTCCTGGCTCCAAAGTCCATACTCTTCCTACCACACTTAGCTGCTACCCTAAAGGTTTATCAAGGACTACTCTAAGATATAGAGTCCCTGGGTAGCACAAACGGTTAAGCACTAGACTAACTGAAAGGCTGGTGGTTCAAACCCACCCAGGAGTGCCTGGAAAATAAGCCCTGACAATATGCTTCTGAAAGGCCACAGCCTTGAAAATCCTATGGAGTCCTACTCTACATATCGTAGTGTCTCCACGAGTCAGAATCCACTCGACGGCAACCAATGACAACAATAACGACTTCAAGATATGGAAGGTTTGATTAACCTAAATACAGTGGACAAAAAACAATGACTTTCCTGAGTCCTGAGAATTTGGATATTCCAATCACATTTTCATACCATGGCCTATGATCATATTAACAAAAGTGGTTAAGGACCACTTCTCTCTTTTTACCTCAGTTCTAGATCTTGTGGGGGAAAAATACTGAGGGCCTAACCATAGTAGCAGGGATATGGGGTGAGTGAGTGTAGGGGAGAGTGGTAAAATGAGTTGTATCTGAATTCACTGTGCTTCTTAAAGGGGCTCAAAAACTACTGTGATCCCTGGAGCAAGTAGACCTACAGGTTGGTAGGATGAGAGGAAAGAGAAGAGAGAAGCATGAGGAAAGGGAGCTCTCTCCTAGGTTCTCTTTTACCATCTCCAGGATCTACCTCCTACATAGTCACTAGTTCCAGCTTTAGAAGGGAAAAAAGAAAGTTATTTGCAAATAGATGAAAATGAGAGGTTCCTCAGGTTAAGTAAATTGCCTGGTTTGCCAGTGGTGGATGCAATCCTATTACTACGAGTCAATTATGACTCATATTGACCCTACAGGACAGAGTAGAACTGCCCCATAGGGTTTCTAAGGCTTTACATCTTTACAGAAGAAGACTGCCACATCTTTCTTCTATGGAGCAGCTGGTGGGCTCAAACCACTGACCTTTCAGTTAGCAGTCAAGAGCTTAACTACTGCACTACCAGGGGTTTCTATGATGGATGCAATAGCAGTTTAAAAGTAATGGGATCTGGTCTGATTATCAGACTCCCAAGTGTACAAGCACAAGTAAGACCACCAGCAACAGCAGCAGTGAAGAAAAATCTCCAAGCAGCACCACCATTTGTTAACTGAACAAGCGTTTTACCAAGCATCTGTTGTTGTTGTTGTTTGCCGTCGAGTCGGCCCCTACTCATAGCGACCCTTCCTTGGGTTTCCGAGGCAGTATCACTACGGAAGTAGGATTGCCCAACCTTCCTTCCGAGGAGTGGCTGGTGGGTTTGAACCACCAGCCTTCTGGTGAGCAGTTAGGTGCCTTAGGCACTATGCTACCAGAGCTCCCACCAAGCATCTACTGCTGTATAAATCTCTATATGAAGTAATAGGTAGGTACTGGGGATCAAGCAGAGATTGAGACAGACACCATGCCTGTCTTCATGGAAAACACACAGTGTAAGGTTGTAAGACTGATATAAAAGGGGACACTGAGGGTGTGATAAGGAGCCCTGGTGATAGTGGTTAGGTCCTTGGCTGCTATCCAAAGGCTGGCAATTCAAACTCACCTGCTGCTCTACAGGAGAAAAGATGTGCCTCTGTTAGGACCAAAGCCTTAGAAACCCTAAGGGGCAGTTCAACCCTGTCCTACAGGGTCACTAAGAGTCTAAATCAACTCTACAGCAATGGGTTCAGGATGCTATGGGTGCCTGAAAATCAGGAATGGAGTTGAATCTTATCAACCCTCTGGGTCTCCATTAATTCAGAGTATTTAAAAATTCTGGAGAAATTTTTATTTTACTCATTTTAATTAAAAAAGCAAACCAAGGACCACCACTAGCACTAACTTTTAAGTAAGGGCACAGTAGTGTAGCAAATAGAATGCTCTACGCACTGGCACTTGTAATTTAATCAGACACGTGTCTTAACGAAAATACAATCTTGCTGAAGGTGAAAAATCGACTGCCAACTGAAACTTTTATCTCTTAAAAAAATGTAAGTCTTCTACACAAAATTAATCAAAGTCAACTATAGAAGACTGTAGGTGAAACTTCAGAATAGGACACACTGACTACAGGCAGTCCTGGGTTATGAACTGAGATCTATTCCTAATTTGTCTGTAAGTGGAATTTTTAGGTAAATTGGAACAAGTGTCTATGGTTCTTAATTAGCTTTACTTTGGTGCAAGAAAAGGGTCCAAGCCTTTTCAATGATTTAAAAGCCACATACTCAACAAGTAAAAGTCATTGTGATGAAGAATTTATTGTAAGTAGAATTTGGGTCACCTGTTTCAAAGTGAGGGCCAATTTGCATAACACTGAAGGAGCTCTGGGGGCATTGTGCCTAAGGCATTTGACTGCTAACCAGAAGGCTGGCAGTTCAAACCTATCAGCCACTCCTCAGAAGGAAGATTTGGCAATCAACTTCCATAGTGATACTGCTTCAGAGAGGCAAGGAGGGGTCGGATCAGACTTGACAGCAGTGAGGTTTTTTTTTTTTTTTTAAAGGGCAAGTATGAGGTAAGTCAGACATTCAAGTTGGATGTTCAAATCGGACTTCTGTAATTGGGAACTACCTGTACTTCATTTATTCAGCCAGTGTATGCTCCAAGAACATCCTTTGCTAGAAATATTAATAGTCACTGTGGAATTGCAAAGGCAAGTGTTCAAGACTTGGTATTATTCTCCCATTGCTCTTTCATCTATTAATGTAGATCCCAGATCACAGCTTTTACCAACTTCCATTCCCCCATGCTTCCAAATAGTGGCAGAGTCAGGATTTAAGGGACTTAAAACCCATGTCTGTCCACAAACCAATTGAGCACACCAACTCCCTAACAATTCTGCCTCCTGCCCTCTCTTTAGATGGAAATAGTACACTCCAAAGCCTCAGAGACCAGCTAGCTTCCAGCAATGTGCAAAGTGGCAGGTAATAATAGCTATGGGAGTCGGAGAGGGAGTTGGAGGGGATAACAGCTTTTTGGCACCCATGATTCCTGCCATGGGTGACCATGCAATTTTAAGAGAAACCAGAAATTTGAACCTTTATGTGTACTCCTGAACATTTAAATGTTAGTTGAAGTTTGCATGTTTGGTTTTAGAACACTCTGTGGGTCAAACAAGTCACCAGCTTTCGACCTTTGTTAACACACTATTGGCGTCATTATCTTCATATGGAACATCACCCTGGGGATGTTCATTTACACCTTAAATACCAATAGCGTTCTCTTTTTCAGGCAGCCTAGATGGACTCAGACTAATGTCATGTAAGGCAGACCTGCTCACAGGTGACTACAAGGTGTTTTTCTATCCAGGGGCCCAGAGAACAAACCTCGGTTTTTTCCTGTAGCAAGTCTATCCTGCACTGTTGCTTACCCGTTTGTCAATGTCATTGTGTTGGAGCTGCACAAAGCGAGCACTGATGGCTGCAATGTAACTCTGCTGATTGGAGAATGCCACACGGCCAGCACCTTTGGGGTACTTCAGCTCTGGGTCTGTATCAATGCCAGCATAGCAGACACCACCATACAAACGGTCCATGATCATTGCCAGTTCAACTGCAAGAAAATAAACACAACTATGTACAAATGTTTAGAAGGTACTCTTGCCCAGGAGAATAATTACTAAGGATCATGTAGTGTAGTTAAGAAAGGGAAAACTCAGGTTAAATATTATGAAGAGTGTCCACACCAGTCTTACAACTCAAGTAGGGGAGCTTCACATAGGATATTTAAAACTAAAGTGAAATAGAACATTCAGAATCGATATATACATGTAAGAACTTACATACTCAAAACTTCAGCAACAGTACAAAAGGAATGATCTATTAGTATTCCTCCTTCTCAAATTTCTAACTGCTTAGTCCACTGGACTGAGCCCTTGGTAGGCAAAACACTTCATGATGCTCCAACAAGTTAAGGAGAAACAGCCCTTGATACTGATCTCTAAGACTGAAAGCAATTATGGAAGTCACACCGCTACATTAGGACTAAGCTACAGAAAGAATTAATTTTCCTTTTAACTAGGAATAATATACTTACAGCCTTAAAGTAAATCTCTATAATTAAAAAAAAATACTTTAAAAGAGAATAGTCTATCCCAACTATGAAATTTCCATACTAACTTGTCACATTTAATTCTAAATAAGAATAATACTTGTAATAGTAATAGCAGCAATTAACATTTATTGAGCACTTACAATGTGCCTGAAAGCACCAAGCTGCCACATAAGCAGTGAAAACATACTCATCCTGCAGCTTGCTATAAATCCTGAGGTCTGTTCTTCACTCCTTGCCACATTTCTTCTACATGTGCCTTTAAATTGGTATGTTCACAAACCACCTGTGTAGCAGGTATTTAGACACTAGACCGTTCCAAAGGCCTGATAATCAATAATTATTCCCACCTTAAAGGCACCATGAAGAGAAATGTAGCATTTACTTACCTGCATCCCAAAGTGCCCAAAGGTAATTGTTTACTTGATACTAGACAACAACTCCTCCAGGTATGACCATTCTTTTCATGCTACTCACATAATCTAATTTCAAAAGATTCAGACCTAACCTTACCCTACCCCTGAGGTGGCTACCCCAAAAAGCCACCTTCAAACACCAACATATGCCATTTAGAAAGAAGACAGGGAAGATGGGTGAGGGCTCGGGCCAAAGCCAACGTCAGAAAAAAAAAAAAAATCACAAGTCGAATTTCACAGGAATCCGTATCAGGGGTAAGGAAAGCATAACCTGGTAGAGTGGGGTAAGAGCTCTGCAGCAGATCAAAGGGCAGAATGGCTGAACAGTGTAAGAACCCCATCATATGTCTTAAGAATAGAAGGAAAGGCAAGTGTTACTGGTGCCTGTAATATGCAGCGGCTGGGTTATACCGGCAGTAAGAAAAACTATGTCACTGTGACAGAAAGGCTGTCCTTTTATTTGTTCAAATTTTTTTTTTCCATCAGACTGCCAAAACAATTGCTGATTGTTTTCTAAGTGCTTGCTTGTAGTAGGAAATCTGACCTGCAACCAGTACTTAATTATTAGAAGATGAGAAAGTAAGTTAGCAATAACTGAGCGCAAGAGTTAAGTGTTTAATTAAAGACAGAGCAGCAGAAAGTCAACCATTTATCCCATTATGGTCAGAAGGATTGAGTCATATCAGCCAAGGGAACATTGCCAATTAGAGCACAAATGGACCTCACTGCAGTCTTGAGGCAGGATCCAGGAATAACATTTATTCAAGTCATGCAACAAGAACCATGCAGGTACCCCAAATATTAGAGTTCAGTGGTTCCTTACACTTTGTCCCAACAACCTCTAGAGGCCTGAAGACCTCCTCACATTGACAGTGTTATTCCAGCAACAGGGACCAAGAAAAATAAGATGAAATTAATTGTCTTTTGCAGTTACTAATGAATTTCCCTTATTGGTCAAATGGACTTTAGTAAAATAAATAACCTCAGGGCCCTGGAGATTAAATACTAATTTACCAAAGACCTTCCTTTGGAATGAAATAAGAAAGAGAACATTCTGTGAGCTGGTGAGTGGCCAGGAAAAGAATGCTGCCAACAAACTGAACTGGCACTTGTCTTCCCCCTTAGGAAGGACTCAAGAAAACATCTGACTTAGAAAGAAGGTACTCCAGTTACAAGCTTCAGGTTAGGCTCCCGAAGGAGAGTTACCGTAACCACAGGCTCTTGTACACCACAGTGGTTTTCAAAGGAATCTTGGGGATGTTATGATGGTGCCAGAAAAAGCTCCTCCCCAAGTACACACATGGCATTATTCTGTGAATCTAGCTGTTGGGAAAGTATCTTCAGGTGCCAAAGATTCAATCATGGCCGATGTTGCTGGCCGTCAAGCAGTACTTTGGGTAGGAAGCAGAAATTCTCACCCACTTATGCTTACATAAAAATGAATCATAAATAATTTCCATTTACGAGCTTACGTATAGACACTTTCTTGGGCACTATAAAGTCCACAGACAGTAGAGCCAATGAAGCCCTACTCAAGTGAAGGGCAATTTGTTGAGAAGCTAGAAGAAGCTAAGGTGACCAAAGAAAGTTTTTAGGGGGAAGTATGAAGATTTCTCACCTCTAATTCTACTCTAGTCTGTACTTTACTGAAAATTTAATACTGTGATCAACTTTGAAAAAAAGTAAACAATGGTCAAACAACTGCTAATTGTATTTGGCCCATTACTCAGGTACTAAGTCCTCACTAAAGCACACTTCTCCAGGCTAACCCACACTAGGCTTGAACACCAGAGGGATGCCATTTAAGTACCAAACAAGAGTTTTTGATTACTGAGAAAAGAACTACTTTGTAAAAAAAGCATTAAAAAGAGATTAACGTACTTCATCTTCTACAGCACAGGTGACTGCTAAAAGCAGATCAAGCCATTCTCAAATCCTATAAATTTCCAATCTGAGAATTTTTTTTTAATGAAGAAGATACAAACTCAACTACAGATGCCAGAATGTATGACTACTTTAGAAACCAGGTGTTTTTTCTTTTTTTTCCAAATAGAAATTTGCTTTTACATATATCTTCCCTGCATCTCATAGGTCTTAATACAAAGCTTGGATGCAATAATTGTGTAGGTGAAGAGACACCAGGTTTTAAAGGATTCTTTAGAGTGAGTATCATCAGGTAATATAGGAAAGTCCCACATTAGCTCCCTTCCTCTGATGGGAGGAGAGTAGAACAGACAAGAGGCCACCATTCTGACTACTTGGGGTGAGGTGTGAAAAAGAGAAGAAAAGAAGGAAGGATCTGGCAGAAGTCAACTAAAGACTTCATGGGTTCACCTGTATCTTGCAGTCTCATCCCTGCTCACAAAACGTGAGCCCTTGATTAAGCCCATTGTATCTCATCTGGAAAATGTAGCAAAAACACACAGTAAACTTATGAGAATGAATCCTCTGTGGAGAAGCAGGGGCAGAATGGCTCCTGGGAGTATGCTCTTCCCCTTTACCCTAATGAAGATGAGACTACCAAGGCAATACATACAGGTGCAGACTGGAGTTCAACAGAGGGAGGTGACAGCAGTATCGACAGAGTCCACAAGGAAGCCAAAAGCCTCAAAATCCGTTTTTATTTTTTCCTTTCTACCCAGAGAGTGTTCACAGTGTCTGTATGGTCACCATAGTGGTGGGTAATTAGCAAGTTTGGTGACTACTTCCAATGGCATACTGTACTTCGGACAGTATGTACTTCTGTGCTCCTAAGACAACTCAAGTCATCTCAGAAACAAGTTAAGTGTTCCATGGTAAGTGCAACACTGCTAACCTACATGTCTACCCTATATGTTGGATCTTCTTATAAATTACACAGACTGAAGAGAGAAACAAGACTGCTACACCTGTGTGTAGCATATAGCAATCCTGTGAATTCTTCTGGGCCATGTGACTACGGCTCTGAAGTTGAATATGAACCCACATTGTGGTTCCATGTATTTGCTCCTAGATATTCATAGAGATTTGAAAGGGATTATGATTCAAAGAGGAAACCATGATGACTCCCCCATCGTGCTCCATCCCAGGGTCCTGTTTCTGTCATTTAATCAGATTTCAAGATAGCCCTAAGGCGATATCTAAGTCTGAGATATTGTAAGAGTCAAACCAGGTGGAACAGGGATGAAGATTTCAGAGGGCTATAACAACACATTCATATTTCCAAATTTTAAATTGTGAATTTAGAAGGCACACTTCTTTTATTTGGAAATAAGTGAAAATGAGGTCAAAGCATACGAGACAGAGCCATAGGCACCTTGAGATGACAAAGAAGTCTGGGTTTCTGAAAGACAGGAAGATTGAACTTGTAGGTGGACTTCCTAGGTTTCCCACAATTGCCACGTTGGTTCAGAAATGGTGGTTCATATACCTCAAGTAAAGGAAACACACTTATAAACTTCTACTCTGCAACAGATGTTGAGAAGTTAAGAACAATGTCCACTACATGATGTGAATAATCAACTAAGTCAGACAGACAATGCTTACCTTGATGAAATAAGACTGGTACCAAGTTGACTGTTACTAAGACAGCATCTCAGTTCTCAACTCGATAAAGTTCTAGAGTTCTGAGTCTGAATTTAGGCTTTTTCAATTACGGTGCTCCTGCACCTATCACTCGCTCTGAAATCTGCTTCCTCATCTCTAACATGAAGTTCACCACTTCAAGCTCACAAGGTTACTGGAAGGATTAAACACACATAAGAGTGCTGAGCACAGAGTGGTGCTCAAATGTTTAGTTCTGCCCAGGGGTTGTTTTCCCCCTACCGATTAATCTTTGTTTAACATTAGCGTGGCCTGGTTTCTGCTCCATGAGCAACAGTTCATCCCAATCTTAAAGTGGCTTTATGCTAATATTACTCAACCTGCTCTGATATGGTGGTTTGACACCAGCTATGGTTGAGGGCTTGTTTTGAGGGTGGGACGGGGGTAATACGGTTAAGTCAGTATGCCAGCTCTGGAGTTCATTGGGGACAAGCCTTGTACTGAACCTTGGACTTGGTAAAGGAAAGTTTCTGCTGTTGAGAATCTGATATAAGGTGATTTCTCCTGCTACCACTTCACAGAACAAAACATGGACATGGTTACGATGTTTCCATTTTCTGTATCACAAATCAGGACATCACTCCTAATAGAAGTGAACTACCAGGGAGGAAAGTACAGAATATTTGAGACAAATGAAATTTGAAAAATTCAGGATGCATGTTCTCTGGGTGTATGCCAAATATTCATATATCACTGAATATTTACCTAAATATCCAAAACCAAAACACCGAACTCATTGCCATCCAGTCGATTCCAACTCATGGCTGCCCCCATATTAATAGGGGACAAAAAGAAAGGAAAAAATGATCAGGGCAGTAGTTAGCAAAGATGGAGAACCACAGATGAGCAAGCAAATGGTGGACTCTGGGAACCAGATAGGCAACTGCTGTGCTGCAGGGCCTGGTCTGGTAACTGTTGGAAGGAAGTTGTGAAGTATAGCTCACATGCCTACAACCAGAAAAGACAACTAAGGGCTTTTCAAGCTTGATCAAAGTTAGGAGTGGGTGGGTCTCAGAAATGGTTACCAAGGCAGTCCTCAAATCAGATGTCTAAGGCAAGAAGTGGTGGTCAAAGATTACTCATGTTTATAAACTAGAGGAGAGTATGGGGACCAGATGCTTCATTTGCCAACTTTTCTTGATGGTATCCTCATGACTCCCAAGCATAGCACTTATTTCCTCTTAGAGTGAAAAGATGTGCATTCTGGAGAGTCCTAATGCCACAGTGATATGCATAATGGGGCTATTTCTGTATTCTCTATTCAGTAAGCCGTGTTGCTCACAGCACTTGGGTAGAGTGGTGAACTGCTGTTGTACTTCGAAGGGGTAGCAGGCAGAGAACCAGGACAGACTTGCTCATTTCCCTGAACTAACTCTGAAGAATACACAAATTTTAGCCACATGGTGGCATGGTGAGTCTATCTACAACCCTCCCAGGCATTTGGGTGGAGTGGTGTGGGGTGTGGAAAGAAACAAGAAATACCAGGAGACTTCAGGCAAATGGGTCTTAGCTTGTCACTGATGGGAGTAAAAGGAGGGAAGGAAAAGAGATTGTAGGGATATGTATTGTTTGACATAGAGAAACCCAAAATTAGGTGATCTAACTTTGGATAAACTCATTTAGATTTTCCATTGATATCTTCCCACTTTTAGGTTAAATCTTCTAGGCCTGTGATTCTTTTCCAATATGAATTTTAAAAAAGGAAAGCTTGTCAAAGATCCAGAAGGAGCACCTTAAATTCAGTTAGAGCAACACTGCTTAAAACGGGTTACCCTGTTTCTTTAGAGGTGCTTATGCATTTCTCCTTGGCTAGATAAAGACTGTAGTTAGAATAATTTGTTCTTGATAATGATTCCTGTCTTACAACGGGGAAGTACCGAAGATGGAAAAAAACACTCACACAATGCAAAGGAATAACTCTTGAGTGCTAACATTTCAGTCACTGTGACACGGTGAAGGACAATTTTTGGTTGAGGGTTGGATGACAAATCCCTGAACACCTGAAATCTCACCTGTTGAACAGGGACACCCATATCTACTCCAGGATCACTCTGTCTATAGTGCCTGAAATAGTTTTCGGACTTTAGTGAATTCCATAACCACAACACTTCTGAGAAATAATAATAATAAAAAATTCTGAAATATTTCAAAAGCAAATTTGAGAATCATTATGCTAGAATGTAACTTAGGTTCCAATTAATTTTGAGTTACCATTCCATTAATACAGTTCTCTTGTTTATTCTGAAATTTTTGACTCTGTAGATGATGACCTGTCTAAAACAATAGTTCATTCACCTTGGCATGATGTACACTTGCTAAATGCCCATAACACAGTGTTAGCTCAATAAATGTTTATTGTTCAAGTAAACCACACTATATTCAATTTAAGATTGTCTGGCAAAGTCTAAGTCAATTTCTTTCAAAAATAATCTTCTATTTCAAGGCACACATCAGTCCACAAAGCCCATTATGTGCTAAGGGAACCCAATTCTATTCAATGCACATGGATAAAAGTTTTGGATGTTAACACTTTTTATCTAGATTCCTGGGCTCCACTTTGGAAGCCTTGGGAGAGATAATAAAAGTCTAAGACATTGATATAGCTTATTAAGCCACCTAGAAACTAGCTGCACTTGTGGGAGGTGTTTGCATGGGGGTAACATTTCTGCTAGGCCAACTGATTTTAGATTATACCCCTCCAGAACTGCCAAAACAAAATAAGTTTGGTTTAGCTTTTAAAAAAGTAAAGAGAACTTCAAGAATTATGAAAAGTATACTATTTAGGCAAGGAACACAAAATCCCATTTCTACTAGATAACTAAACGTAATTCTCTTCTCACCCTAGAACTTGCAGCATCTTACAGACATAGAATGTTGAAAGATACAATTCAGCTTCTCGAGGCTCCTGTCTTGCAGTGTCACTGTGACCACAGAACAGTGTGAAAAACGGATCTTTGTAAGATTTATAGAAGATTCGATACAAAGGTTCTTACCTACCCTTCCAAATCAGTAAAACGGGAAAAATAAAGAGTGAATAATACAAAAGAGAATTTAGTTTATACACTGTTGTGCCTGTGACTTAAAAATAGACACAACAGATTAAAGACAGTTCTGTTAAAAAGTTCTGTTAAAATAACTGGGACTTTCTCTTCTATAATGCTTCTCAGATTCCCATCTAGGAAAAAAGAGAGGGACTAATATATTAAACTAAATTTATGTTTCTAGTTAGTTGCAGAAAAGGATCATCATAAGATTTCTTTTGGGTCATGGCCTAGATGGCCACCAGATTTCTGTTTCCCTTTAAAAGCGTCCTTCAAAATCACAAAGTAAGTTCCTGTCTATGCCTACACCCATGTTGAAACAGGAAATTTACGAAATAGAAAAATAAGGAAAAGATAATGTTGTACCAATGGTGCTCACTAATGCTAGCAATGGATGTCCAATTATATAATGTATTTGAAGTTAAAACAAAAATGTATCAAAGGGGCTTTCTCTTTCTCCACTCCTAAACACAACACCAGCTTTTCTGAACAAAAAAAGTTAGGAATATTCCTTAACGTTCTCTGAAAAAATGTTTAACCACAAGCAGTTGAGAGACAAGGGGCTGCATTTGTCCTTACTGTGTAATGCTATTAATGTTCGAGTTAGCCCTTTCTATGCTTAATTCTCTGACAGCAGATAGAAGAGAGAGCACCACCACTGCCTTGCTTGTGTGCTTGCTTTTGGAACAGTTTTCCATCAGAATGAAAATAAAATTCAAGGATATTTTACTTTCAGTAATAGTGTAAAATTACAAATGCCACAGTCATAATTAATATGTTCAAAAGTTCTTAAAAACAGAATTATGAATTATCTTTATATAGGCCTTTAAGTTATCTTTTAGGTACAGACTGGAATAGGGATTTGAATAACTATCTTGGAAATGCTGAAGAATTTTAAAATTAAGAAGTTGTCAAAGTCGTAAGGCCAAATAGCTGGAGGATACATTTTACAATTGTTTCTATAACTTCATTTTTATGCTGTTTTTAAGAGAGAACTAATCTACTTGCTTATAAACAACAGAGGAAACATTTCACGTCTGCAAACACAGTGACAGCAATACCTTACTATTTGTTCTTACTTTAAAAAATGAACTAAATTATTTCAAGTACTTAGAAAACTTAGATCTTTAAAATAATTTTATTATATCCTATTGGCAACCATATTGATCATTGGGAAGCTGATGCACAGTTTCTTAGATTTATGTTGGGATGCAAATATTGAAGTCATCAGTTTACCATCCCTTCAAATTCCCAGTCGGTTCAGATATTACTCAATCCCAGCAGGAACAATGGTTTCATCATTGGAAAAGAACTTAAAAAAAATTAATTTAATTTAAAAAAGGAAGCTTTCTAAAAGTCACAATAAAGAGGCTCAAATATAAAATTGATTTCTCAAAGTGCATAAGAAAAATAGGACCCCATCTCACACGGGAAGAGTTAAGTTTAACTCCCAGTGACACAATTTCCAGAAGTAGGTTGGCTCAACACTGAGTAGGCACACAGCTGCACCAACGTGTTTTTTAAAAATATGTGGTTGTATAGGACAGCACTAAATAGATTTCATTCTTTTAACATATCAGTTTAATGACATTCACTTTTGTACCATAAGAAAATAAACCATCTGGGGAGAAAACATTTAATCCCAAAAAAGTCAGCTTCGTGAAATTGACATGGACAGCCTTCTTTTGGGACACTGTATATAGCTGACTAGACACCTAGAAAATATTTAAGACTAAATGCATTGGGGACTTTGTTGTTGTCACTTTTGTTGTTGTGGTGTTACTATTTCCACTCACCAGCTCGAAGGGGTCGTGGAACTCCCCCAACAAAGATAGTTTTTCTGGGGTCCAAAGGCTGAGAACCATCCATTACAAAGTCACTGTCACTTAGGTTCCACGGTCGAATTTGCACCTGAAAAAAAGTTGTTTACTTGGTCCTTACTTCATTTCCATCAACCCCAAATGAGAATAAGATGACTAAAGACAAACCCACCGATCTGTGTACTTTATAACATACACAACCCAAACAAAATCCAGTAAATTAAGGTTATCTGCATTAAGTGCCTTTCAATAGAACTCTTGGGGAGTCTACATACAGGTACTATGCTCAACACTCTAAACATATACCATGAAACCTTCAAAAACCACCTTTGGTTAAAAAAAAAAAGGCAGTCTTTTAGAGATAGATTCTGTGTTCTAAATCAGATTCATTTTTAACACATGATAGGCTGTTTATAACAGGTCACAGTGCACTTAGCTTTTTAACAGACCACCTAAAGGAAGGGAACAGGGACATTAGGAGTATTTTCAATGTCTGGCCTTTTAATTCTTATTATTCTCCAAATTAAAACATTTATCTTTTAGCAGTGTGACTTAACAAAGATTACCACTCATCAAATTAGCCCAGGATTTCCAAATAGATACCAAACATTGAAGCACCCAGAGTTATTTATTTCTGATTTATCTGATTTTTCTAATGAGGCTGCTTAATTAAAGGCAACTCTAAAGATCAAAGAAAATTTTCAAAGTAGAAAAATATACCTTGATGACTGTTTTAGTTACCTAGTGCTGCTATAACAGAAATACCACAAATGGATGGCTTTACCAATTTACTTTCTCACAGTTCAGGAGACTGGAAGGCCAAATGCAGGGTGCCTACTCTAGGGGAAGGCTTTCTTTCTCTGCTGCCTCTTGAGGAAGGTCCTTGTCTCTTTGAGCTGCTCCTCAGTGACCTTCCTGTGCTGTGGCATCTCTCTTCCTTCGTCTTTCCTTGCTAGCCTGCATTCAATCTCTTTTATATCTCAAAAGAGATTGACTCAAGATATACCCTACACTAATTCTGCCTCATTAACATAGTAAAGACAACCCATTCTCAAGTGGGATTATAACCACAGACAGAGATGTTAGAATTTACAACATATGTTTTTTGGGGACAGAATTCAATTCATAGCATTTCACTCTTTGGCCCCCCCAAATTCATGTCCTGTCACATACAAAACACATTCACTCCATCATGTCATCCCAAGTCTTAAATCAGCTCCAAGTCCAAAATCTCATCTTCTGAATCATCTAAATCAAATGTGGGTGACACTTAAGACATATTCCACCCTGGGGCAAAATGCCTTTTGATCTGTGAACCTGTGAAATCTAGATTGCAATTATCTGTTTCCAAAGCACAATGGTAGAACAAGCACAAGGTAGACATTTCCATTTCAATTGGGAAAATTTAGAAGGAAAGAAAAGGGATAACAGACACCAAGCAAGTCCAAAACCCAGCAGAACAAATTTCATTAGCTCTCAGAGCTTGAAAATAATGCTCTATTCTCTGAAACCACCTTGACAATGGCCCTGCCCTCCAGACTATGGGGCGGGCCAAAACCACTGGATTCTGGGTAGAGACCCCTCAGCCCTGAGCTTCAGCTCCACCTTCCAGGCACAATGGGACAGCACCTTTCCTCCCTTGGCTTCAGGCACCACGTTCTCCTAGTCCATCTGAGTGGTGACCCTACCCTCTAGGCTTCAGCAACAGAGGTTTCAATGGCAGCCCCCACCCCTGGCACATCTTAACAGCAGCTCCACACTTCAGAACCCAGTTGGTGAAGATCACATTCTTTGAAACCTAGGAGACCAGGGCCCCACCCTTTGAATCCAAGAAGGCCTTCCTTCCTATGCTCCTTCAGCTGATCTCCAAGCTGCTCTGAGGATTTTTTTTTTTTTCTTTATAAGATAACAGATGTAGCTCCTTGGGCCTGTTTCCTGTCTGTAGTATTCCATCAGGCAGACAATGGTCTGTCCTTTCGTTCTTTCTCCCCTTCAGTCTAAGCCGATGAGTTTTCTGCTGTGGGTAGATGGTTAGATCCATCTGTCACAGGCTTAATCTCTTTAACAAAAGATTGTGTAGTTACCTCCTAGTTAACATTTTAGGACATATGTCCTTAATTTGTGCAACAGAATTTCTAAATTTTTAAGTTCTATTTTCATTTTTGCACGGTTCATTTTTAAGTCCATCTCTTTTGTTTCTTTCGTCTCTTTAGTAAAATGTTTACTAAAAGCGGCAAGGAAAAACCACACATCCCCTTTAAGATCTTGCTTAGAAAACTCCTCAGTCAAATATCCAAGTTCATCACTACACATTCTACTTCCAGCAAACATTTGAACATAATTCTGACAAGTACTTTGCCACTGAATAAAAAACATCACCCTTCCTCCACCGACCATTACATATTCGTCGCTTGCTTTTAAAGCCTCATCAGAAGCACATTTAACGTCCACACTCTGTTGCTGATGCCACATAAGACAACAGAGACTTTATAGCTCTCCTCACTTCCTTCTGAGCCCTCACCAAAATTACATTTGACATTCACGATTCTGTTAACCAGAAGGCTGGCGGTTCAAACCCACCAGCCATTCCTTGGAAGGAAGACGGGGCAATCTACTTCAGTAGTGATACTGGCTCGGAACCCCAAGGAGGGGATCAGTATGAGTCAAAATCGACTCGATGGCAGTGAGTTTTGTTTTTTTTTTTTGGTCCATGATTCTACCCAGTCTCTTCAAGGCAATCTAGGCTTGTGCTATTAGGCACCTTAAAACTCTTCCAGCCTCTTCCCAGTACCCAATGCCAAAATTGCTTCCACATTTTCAGTGTCTGTCAGAGCAGCATCCCACTCTTCTAGTACCAAATTCTGTCGTAGTTATCTAGAGTGCTGCTATTACAGAAATACCACAAACGGGTGACTTTAACAAACAACGATTTATTTTCTCAGTTTAGGAGACTTTGTTGTTGTTGTTGTTATGTGCCGTCGAGTCAGCCCCGACTCATAGCGACCCCTCCTTGGGTTTCCGAGGCAGTATCACTACA